CGGGGGGGGGTGACTGCTCGATTGAAATTATGACATTGTTCTTTTCTTCAAATTGTGATTCCTCCAACTCCAAAACGGAGGAAAAACATTCGTTCATCGAAAAGACATCCGCAATCGTCATGTCATTTAGATCTAGATCTAGGCTAGCCTCGAAACTAGATCAATGATTTATGTCTGTCTGTCTAGATCTAGACCTAGGCCATAGATCTAGAAGAACCTAGGTCTACCCTGAGCCAAGAGGGCATTGAAACTTTCCGAAATCACAAAAGAGTTCCCCTACCGGGTCTGTATACTTTGTGACTTTGTTCCCGGTTACCGGGTCTGTATTAGAGCTGGGCGAAGAATCTAGTCGGGAACCGATTCCCAAGACTAATGCTACGAAAGAAAAGTTCCGACTCCTTTTTTACGTAAACCAGCCGTTACCTGTTACTTTAATCAGTAAAATCTTTTTTTATTGATGCTTCGTAGTGTTCCGAAATCAAGGTTATTCTAAATCCAAAAGATGTTCGGAGCTACCAGGTAACCACAGGAAGAAATCATATCATTGGAAAGTAAGTAATTGGGTTCGGAGTCGATTCCTACGATTCCTAGCTTTCAATACCGGGAACCTCGCCGCCCAGCACTTGTCTGTATACACTATAATACACTATTACTAGCATAGCCTAATCTTTTATTCTAGGCTGCCTTCTGATACTAAAATGATGATTTCATCCAAAGGTTACAAACAAAGGTGATTTCGAGTGATTCCTAGTGTTTTCGAGTGTTTCCTAGCGTTTTCGAGTGTTTTCGAGAAAAATAAACACCCGAGTTCAAAGGTAAGATTTCTGGCGCTTTTTCGGTAGTTCCCACCCTGCCATTGTTATTTGCGGGTTTTGGCCCAGGGAGTGTATACAGACCCGGTAACCGGGAACAAAGTCACAAAGTATACAGACCCGGTAGGGGAACTCTTTTGTGATTTCGGAAAGTTTCAGCGCCTGTTGGCTCAGGGAAGACCTAGGTTCTTCTAGATCTATGGCCCAGGTCTAGATCTAGATAGACAGACATTATAAATCATTGATCTAGTTTCGAGGCTAGCCTAGATCTAGATCTAGATTAGATCTAGATCTAAGAAGATTGCGGATGTCTTTTCGATGAACGATTGTTTTTCCTCCGTTTTGGAGTTGGAGGAATCACAATTTGAAGAAAAGAACAATGTCATAATTTCAATCGAGCAGTCACCCTCTCTATTTCTCTGCCCCCTCTCTCTCTCTCTCTCTCTCTCTCTCTGTGTGTGTGTGTGTATCGCTCGCATTCTCTTTTTCTTTGTTTGTCTCCGTCTTTCTTTCTCTCCACCTATTTCCCACTCTTTCTTTCTCTCGTTCCCTCCTACCAAGTCGGGGCATGTTATCACACGCGCGCGACCGGGTCTGGGAGCTGAAACTTTCCGAAATCACAAAAGAGTTCCCCTACGGGGTCTGTTTACTTCGTGACTTGGTTCCCGGTTACC